TATATATATATATATATATATATATATATATATATATAACCTTTACTTGTGTGTTTTTTTATTTACAATACAAAAATGTTTGCGTCATTAGTTCAAAAACTGTTTTTTTCAAATGAAATTCTTTTTATGCTTTTCTGAACACCATTAAGAGGAAAACATGTACATGGACTCTTGTGTTTCATTTGGAGAAAATGTATTTCCATTCTGAATTAAATCTTTGCTTATTGAGGAAACTGCATGTGGATGCAGAAATAACAGATCCACATATTTCGAGTGCTTGAACAGCACATCAAATATAAGCTTTTTCTCACAATTCCAGTCCATGATTACTTAAATTACAGGCTCAGAACGGTAGAAATGTGGCCAAATGTACTCTCCCATAACACGCTTGCAATATTTTCACTACTGTGTAACCTTTCTGTTAATTGGACTACTGATACAAAGAGCTTCTTTGTAATTGCACACAAATGATGGTTCCTTATTTGCTGGGAGCAATTTTCTCTGTTAATACCATTCTGAGCCCAAGCGTAAAGGGGTCAGTATGTATCTCTACCTTATGTGCAGGCAAACTCATCTAAATGGTGATGAAAAGGTACACAAACTTCTTGTTATGTAGAAAAAGTGAAAATGCAGATTGGTTTAAAAGGTTCTTCCTAACCATCTGTTCCCCTTTTACATTGAATATTTACCCCCAAAATACCAAATATATATTTTAATCATTGTTGTTTCAGATGAAATGCACTTCCATCTTATCTGGCTCGTGTTAATATTTGGCCCCTCCTGCACCCTCTGTTCTGATAAAAACTCATCTTTTTTCTGTTTCTGTTTCCACATAAGTCCCTCCACTTAAGGAGAAGATCAATTAAGTGTGATAGGCTTACTTACAGCTGTTTCTTCAACTATGAACACAACATAAAATCCTTTTAATTCTTAGGAATTTGATTTCTGCCTTCCATCAAGTTGAGCTGTGAAGTTTAGGTATTCCAATTAACTGTCTAGTCTATTCCGTCAGTCTACTCTCTCCCTGTCCCTCGGTGGTTTTCGTGTCTACTGGCAGCAGACATTAAGTCCCATAAAATCAGCACCCAACAGTGACGTACACAAAACAGCAGGCCACGCTTCATCCCACAAGACTAATCAGTCAGTTGATAACGCGGAGGAGACGAGGGGCTGCGACTCATCAGGAGCCCAGAGGGTGGTGCCTCAGAGGGCCACGGTGGGCGATGTGCTAAACTGGAACACTAAACACAAGTTCAGGCCTAATCGTCTCATTGTCTCTGTTCTGCTTGAAAGGATCAGCAGCCATGCTAAGCTCCTCCGGGTACCGGCCTTCAGCTGCTCTCTACCATCTTGTTTTGTCTTTATGGCTGTTGCTCTTGTTTACGGAGAATGGCCTCTTTTTGTTTTCCTTTCAGGCATTGTTTGGCTATTCAAATGGTCTTGACTTTTGTGATTTTTACTTGTCTGTTTTATAACCATTGGTAAATGAGAGTTTGCCGTTTGGCATTGCAACAGTCATAGTCCGTCACAAACGAATTCCTAACCTTCAGTGCAAAAATGACTATTTTTCTTATTTGCCATGGCTCACATTGCTATGTGTGAGCATAAAGGATTTGTCTGAAAGGCATAGAGACCTGTTTTGAACATTTTGAGCAGAACTTTGAGCTGTTAAAACATAAAAAACACAGTTGTTTCATATGTAATCAGTCCTAAAGCACAATCAGTGTCAAGTTATAAATAAGCTTTTTCTTTTCCTAAATCATCATCAATCGTGTATATGAAGGTTTTCATCTGCAGCTAATCTAACACATTTTTTGGCATTTGTTATGACTTTCTGTTATTTGTCAGCACTATACGGTAGACATGTTTTGATAAATATGACTTCCTTAGCCTTTGTAGGGCTGGTCAGCTTGTTAGGTTTTCGGCAGCTTTGTTCAATCAAAGTACCCGTTTTTAATTAGTAAATGTTCAAATTCGGGTTTGGAAAGAGTTCAGTCCACATGGGGATCAAATATGAAAGTCAGCCCAAAAGCTGAAAGTCCAGCTATCTGCACGTGTTGCTTAGGTTGAGGTTGATGCATGACCACGCCAGAGGCAGGAAGGCAGACACAGAGACTGATAAGGCAAAGAAGGAGAGAGGGAGAGGAAGAGCTTGTAGCCCCCGAGGGCTTTAGGCCTATCTGTCACTGTGCCACAGCCAGCTATTCGCCCTGTAAGTGATCCATGGACACAGAGTCCACAGGTCAACCATGACAGCTTGCTCAGTGTGTGCGGTTGTGTCCCACAAGGGTGTGGGTGGGTGCGAGTGCATCTGCATTCTGTCTCCCATGATGCCAGAGGGTGTCTGTCTTCATCTGCTGTGGGAGAATGCAGACTTGCATGTGGAGCAGGTGTGTGCGTGCGTGTGGTCATTTTTCCGCTAATGAAATGACACACAGGTGTAAACGTGGCGAGGGCCATCACAGGGTTGGAGATGCAACGGAGCAATATGTTGCTAAGGCAACAGTCAATGGGACATTGTCCAAGTGCGATGGAGAGAGAGGAGAGGGTGCGGAAGCAAGTCAAAATGAAGCAGTTGCCATAGCGACTCTTCATTGCAGCTGCCTGTAATATTCTTCCTCCCTAAACCAAGTGAGTCTACCGGACTGATGCACCTGTTTTGCCATCGTGGCTGTGTATACTCGTGTGCACATGTGACGGCCCACTTCATGTGATGCATGTTTCAGTAGGTATTTAGCATAAACGGGTTTAGAAAAGCAAGTTTCGAAGGAAACCAAATACCCTTTCCTCATCATAACAGATGCCATCATGGTTATTTATGTGGTTGATCTGCTCTATTGCTCTCTGATATCCCCAGGCAAGCAACTTACACTGACACATGCACACGCAGAAACCAACAGGGGCTGTCACTGTGCCACAGTCCTAAGTCCTGTGGACCATATGCCACCATGGGCTCCTGGCAGGCTTTAGCATCGTTGGCCACAGTAAGCCGTGAGAGCGGTTCAAAAGGCCAATGAGGGCCCATCAGGGACCATCCTGCATGTATACGCAGCACTGCAGGGGTGGACGTCTGTTAAAAACCCCATAGCCTGACATCATATATTTCTCTGAAAACATCTCCATCTTGGTGTTCATGGGTTTCAAAGAAAACTTAATATGAAGTAATATCTCTATTCAAGGACAGAAGTGTTTATGGGGGGGGGGCAGAAATTAAACAGTATTAATAAAACAGAAAAGTTAAACTTATCTTTTATTTAAAATCAGCCCTCTATGAAAATGTTATTAAACTAAACATAGAAGTAGCAGCCCTTAACCGTAAGTCTGTTTTGGATTATTAAACAGGATTTTTTATAAGAGACATTTTAGTTATCTTTTCCATTATGTGCTTAAAGGAAAAACGCACTAACAATTTGCACTAGTGCAGATTGATAGCATCCTAGAGAATCCTATTTTCTAAAGATTCTCCACAGGGCACACAACCCAGAAATAGTTTGTTACGGCTGTCCGTCCTGCTCGGGGCCAGCTACACTTTGTAACTTCCAAGGTGAAAAATAGAATGTGAAAATTATGGAGATTCATTGAGCACGTAATATATTAAGAGTGCCAGTGGCCTTTATTTAGCTGAGGATTGCACACAAAATGTTCTTTTTGTGATAGATGTACAGACATCTGCTTTATTCCTTTCTGGCCAAGCTTGAATACATCTCCTCATATCAGACAAAATCCTTTTTTTTCCTCTGTACAGAGGGTCTCCATCTGGTGCCCATTTGTATTCCCTATGTGTCATTTCATGCATCAGTGCTGGTCAGTCTTTGTCAGCTCAAAGTAAAAAAAAAGGGACCTTGTTCCATTCTTTTTAATATTTCATTAATTGCAAGATGATTTTTTCAGGTATTACTGCTTTAATCACAAGGAAACATCCATCAATCCATTTTCGTAACCGCTTAACAAGGAAACATTAAACTAGATTATTACTGCTGTCTGTAATAACTGATGCCAGCCATCTAAATATCAAACTCGTTTTTTAGATTTGACATCCAGCTGTAGGGAATTATGCTGGTTTGTGTTTTCATTCATCTGAGCAATTTGCTCTTTATTCAATAAAATTATGTCCTAACGCAATGTTGATGTTGAGAATACGAGATATTAAATCACATTTATTGACTTTTTTCTGTCTTATTTATTACTTTTTCCCTGTGTGTGTGTTTTTGTGTGTGTGTGTGTGTGTGTGTGTAGATATCCGTGATCGCAGGAAGAAGCCAGTGATGCTCTTTATTCATGGTGGCTCCTACATGGAAGGCACAGGAAACATGTTTGATGCCAGCGTCCTTGCGGCCTACGGCAACGTGATCGTGGTGACCATGAACTACCGACTCGGCGTGCTCGGTAAGAGGGCTTGAATTCTCGTATTCAAAATATTCAACTCATTGACACTCGCAGCCCATCAATAATTTCTGAAAACTTACAATTCAGGCTCGCTCAGTGAATGTTACATCTTTTATTTGAATTGATTTTGCTCATGATGGATGACTTTAATAAAGTTCATCAGCAAAACGACAACCAGTGCAGGCAGTGCTCACTCCCTTGGAGGTTTGAGCTCTTTGCTAATTATTCTTGTCTAGTAGTTGTAAAAGTTTAATGCAGAGCGATGCATAACAGAGGAAAAAAAACTGTAAAGAATATTGGGAATACTTTTCTTACTGTGAATGTTGTTCTGAATATTGCTGGGGTTTTTTTCTGTTCTGAATATATCAAGTGTAGCAGCAGTTTTGTGCTTTTTGATATATTGCTAAGTCACTGCTGAAAGCTTTGATTGGACTGAAGTAACAAAATGGCACAACAAAAAGTAATACAAGCATAAAGACATATATCCAGAGATCAGTTGCTTGCGCAAGATCTGTTTTCATATATTTTCGTGTGTCTGTTTGAAAATGATCAAATTGCAAATATTCTCATTCTCAGAATATAAAAAAAAGAATTTAAAAGGGCTTATTATCATGCACAACCACCTAACCAGCACGTGTCCAGCATTTTATTATACATTGGTTTGCTGAGTCCTCTATTTACTAGTAAAATATGATGCAAAGAGTGGAGCAAGCATGCAAATGAGAAACAAGGCTGCCACTTTAACAGACACAGAAACACACCTCACAACTCATTGTGAGTGCACGCCTTGTCTTGGATCTCCAAACTCAAAATGTCTGTTTTGTGGCTGTGTAAGTCGTCCCACGAAGGGCAAAGATGGTAAAGAAGCAAATCCCTCTACAGAGTGTCTTGGAAGGAGAGACTTGGTTATAATGCACCAGATGCGGCAAAATAAAAGTGAAGGATTTAGAAGGTGTTTAAGGTGGTTTACAGGCCAAATGTTGCACGTACCGAAGGCCTGCCCAGGTCGAAGTGAGATCCACCATACACAAGTATGCTCTTCCACACGAGCTCGTCATCCTCTCCCAGAAAATACACTTGACTTGTCCTCTTTGTTACTCACCGCACTCTGTCTCGCTACATTGAGATCAAGTAATTTGGCTTTGAGAGGAGGAACATGCCTCTAAGGAGGCAGGTGCTAACTAAAAGAAACTAAGTGCATTAGATATTCCATTAGCTGAGGAGAGAGTCAGCTCCTGGAAGCTGTTTCCAAAAGGCTTTGATTTGTTTTGTGGCTCTCTTAAAAACATTAGTGTGCGGTTTTTAGAGAGCTTACACTGCTTTTACAGTAGTGACAAATTTTCATTTGCATGCTCTTCCCTAAAGTGTTTGCTTCTTGTGCATCTTAACTAAGTTCATCAGCATTTTTTCTCAGGTTGAGAAGAAAATCAATCTGCAGTAGGAATGTTGCCAGAGATCCATGATGCTGGATATGTTAGTTATTTGGATAATTGTTATTGTTATTTGTATATAGTGCTCACTCAAGTACTCAGGTAATCTGGGGTGGTAGTTCTGCAGGACAGAAAACATTTTATGAACCATTGCCATGTTCCTGGTCAGCAGATTTAGTTTCCTGGCAAAATCTTTGATCTTGTCTTTCTGTTCAGCAGAGCAACAATTTCTAAATGTTTGCTTCATATATTAATATATATATATATATATATATATATATATATATGTGTGTGTGTGTGTGCTTGTGTGAAGTTGGATAAGTGCCTTAAATATCCCAGTGTGTGGAGTTTATTATGAGATTTGCTAATACTTTAATCCAATTGTGATATTTACTAATTGCAACAAAACTTACATGTGAGAAAACGGTTCAGTCATGCTGAGTTCAATTTGTCTTTATGGAGTTTTTTTATGCCAGCTCTAGCTTGGAATGTTGAGCTTTGGATAGATAAAAAATAATCCTTTACAGAAGGTATCTAAATAAGTAGATTACAAACAGGACAAGATAAGTTTTCAACAACTATGAAATGATTTCAAACTATCAACAGCTCCTCAGAGTGGAGTATATTGAATCATTCTTTGTGTGTGAATGTGTCATTTAAAAGTTTTGCATGATGTATATTAGCAGATGTATTTATCCATTGGTTTAGCATATTTATATCTAATATGTTTACATCATGTTCTCTGAATTGCTCGAGTCAAAGAGAGACCAAACCTAAAAGGGAGACTTTGTAATTTGTAGTAGAAAATACAGCCATAGGGATCTCCTAAATATGAGAGCCTTGCTGGGCAATTTGGCTGCGATTGGTAGAAATGTGAGTAATCTTTCCCCCCTTGAATCCTATATGATGGATTGCATCTTCTGCCGACAGAAGCACCCAGCAAAGGCAGCATTATAGTTTAAAAAAGTGCAATTTTAGGACACCACTGTTTGGCAGTGGTGTACACGTGTCGCAGCACGCATTCATGCATATCAATGTCTGCTTTGCAGATCCACTGTGTGATGGTTTCCACTGTGTTTGTGTTCTTGCCTCAGCAGTCCGACATGCCGATTTGGAAAGGCAGAGCTGGAATTATTTATACAGGCACCACATGTGGTGACGTAAATCTAAACTGAATTTTATTTTTTGTGGCTCCACGTCTATGCAAACAGAAATCTCAGCATGAGATAATCTTCAAAGTCAAGTGTCAGAGCCCTCATGCACACACTGGAAGATGGCTGCACTTAATTGTGCAGGAGTTCACTTGTTTGATTTCAATATTTCTTGAACACACACAAATTACCTGGAATTTCTAAAAGCTTGAATAACGCCACGAGGAATTTAAGGATCTTCCTGCTAATTCATGAGGCAAGAACTAAGATACCTTTGTAATAGTTCTTTGCACTTTGAGGAGGACCCCACACATACAGACCAATGCTGACTTTCTGACTTGCACCATACACTCGAACATAAATTGGCAATCATCAGAATATTAGTGTGCCTTCTAAGGCTGGGGGAAAACAAGTATAATCAGCAAAGAGATCAGGACCAAACAACGCTGTTGAGAAGCGAAAAACAGGTGCACACATGTTGGTATTCCATGCATGTCATAAGATTCAGAGAAACCTTTCTCCAGACAAATTATTCCAGTGCACCTCAAACACAAGAACAGCCTCAGGCAGAGACTGAGCAACCCAAAGGACAAAACACCTCAAAACAAACTGATTGGCGTCACACATGCAGCGCTGGGTGGAACTTTGTGGAGGAGAGCCCAAACCTGAGATGGCCTCAGTTCCTATCTTCCCAGCACTTATAATGTAGCATTGTCTCTTCTCCCCATGCAGTTCCACAACCATTTCACAACCATTCACACCTGACCAGAACTCGCCCTTTCAGGCCGTTAGGTCATTTACAGGTGAGAATGACTTCAACAACATGCCCAGTGGTCGGTGCGTTCAGTGACACATGCGACTGCAACAACTTGCTAGATTTAAGTGGCCCAGATCCGTGTATAAGCTGATGTGTCCCTCCATCTGATTTAGAACTAAAGTAGCCTTTCAGACCAGAGGTGAAACGTCTTCAAGATCAATGAAAAAGAACAAATGCTGTTATGCAAGCTCTTAGGGTGTCCTTGTCCTGGATTACTAAGAATATAGGAAGGAAAATTCTCTGCTAATCATCAGAATAATAACTTACAATGATAGAATGTATTTAAATAGAAAGCTGGTCTCAACTTTTTCAAGGGACCAATTGTGGAATTTAAGGATTTATTTATATCGTGGGTAACCTTTGACCTGTGTAGGTCCATTTAGCATATCAGGCATGCGTATGAATGCTGTTTCTGGCACTTTTTTTACTAAACCCTCATAGCTAGACTGTATCTGTTTGTGTATGTACTGACATTGCTGTTCCTGTGTGTCAGAAATATGTTGGGGGTGGGATACTGCCATTCTTTTCTGCCTGTGCTTGGAGCAGACAAACAGAGGGTTGAGAATCCAAATCCAAATCTTTTTTTTTTTTCCATCTGGCTGATTGAAAGAAGAGATCTTTTGTCTCTGCCTGCACTGACACACTTATTAACAGCTGCTTATCTTGCCCTGCCAGCGTTACGCAAATGCTAACAATCACGCCATCACACACAACATGCCTAACTCTGTCCATATGTTAATATGGAATTCCCATGTGCAGTCTGTCAGGCTGGAGGGGAGAAAGGAGCAGCAGACAGTCTTCCAGTGAGGTGACTGCAGGGATTTTTGGTGGAGTTAAATATGTAATGAAAAGCTTTACCAGGCCACTAAGCACTTGACCTTGTCTTGGCTTGCTCAGCGACAGGCATGCTTACAGTACATAATGTCACATCCACCCCAGTCAGGTTTTTTGTATCCTTCCTCTGCCCATGTGAAACCCACTAAGGGGGGTACAAAGACAGAAAAGATAAAGAACAGTAATGATGAGAACAGTGAAGGGAAACAGTTTCCCACAAAGCTTTCTGTTGTTTATGCTGCAACACTTATGACGACATTTCGCATGTGATCATAAGCAAAAGATACACGTACACTCAGAATATAGGGTAAGAGATTTTGAGAGATGACAGAAGTGGCAGTGGGAGAGAGATGAGAGTCAGGCCAGAGAGCAAGAGGAAGGGGTGAAGGAGGGGGGAGAGGGGCTCCATTTGCCTGTGATGCTAAAAATAAAACCTGCAGAGCGGCTTTTGAGTGTGCACCAGAGCAGACGGGCATCATCTGAAACACAATTTTATCTGCTCTGCAATGCTTACAGAGCACATGCATGCGGCGTGTTCTGCTGCTATGCTAGCAAGCTATTGAATACATTGGACACACACCCACTCACACAAACTTGTGTTCATGAAATGGTTCTGCCCCACTCTCGCATGCTGCTCTTTTTGAATTGGTATTCAGGGAGTGTGGGTGTGAAAAATGCCTGCCCGAGCCTTCGGCAGGGGGTCCTTAATGTGTGTGTATGTGTCTCTGTGTTCATTTTCTGAGAAGAAATCGCTATGAAACGTGACCT